TGGTAACGTTTACTTTTACTTGAGTAATTACTTTTTACACCTCTGCCAGGCGCTTTGTACAATGCAAGGTGAATGTCAAAATAGTCACACTCAATAAAACTTGTACTGTTAAATAAGAAAATCAGTCAGCTACCTAAAGGAACAGTTTTTGCCAGACAACAACTTACTAAACGATAAAAGGTTGTTTAGTTTGTTGTATTTTCCTAGATTCCATGGTGGCTAAGTGCATCTATATATTTAGCAGCTCCTACTAACGATTTAAATCTTATAAAGTATATGGCGATTGATATAACTATCAACTGAATTGTTTGAATGATTTTAAATGGTGTCCCTGTTAAAAACTAAAAACTACTCAAAGTAGATCATAACAGGGACACCATTTTACCGAAAAGGAAAGATCTAACTGAAAAAAAAAAAGTTTTGTAGAGTAGGTGACCGCACTCCTTTTATCCATCACCTGTCCCCAAATAGTATACTCGGTTCTTAAACTTATCCTACTCTCTTTCCATCAAAAGTTTTCTTCAGAATTATGTAAAAAAGTATATAGTAGTTTGTCCCAGAGATTTGTATACTAAATATTAGAAAACATTAGTTGTGGGAATTATTGTTTTCCAATTTTAACCAGTTTAAAATTATAATTTAGTTTGTGATTTATATTGACATTATTCAAACATTAATATCAATATAAATTATAAATAAATTATGATTTTTCTGCAGACTACTTTTAAAGCATTGTTTCGGATTACCCCGGAACAAGAAATAAATATAACTTTTGAAAATGTTCAGCAAGTTGCCCCGGTCTCCCCTATAATGTCTCTCGCGTAATATTCATCAAATTATTCTAGAGGCTTCCATAATAAAATTACGCAAAAGTGATAGGGAAAAGTAGGATATAATTTTTTTTGTATCACTTCACCCCTCTGCAAAACAGTTAAAAAATTTTTTTATATCCAAACTAATAAAACTAAATTTGTTATTAATGTACTATAATAGTACATCATATTGTCTTTATAAAATAAATAAAATGTGTCAAAAATAAAAATAAAATGTGCAATGTCGAAAATATACTTTACTTGAAGTCTTTAAGGGCTATTCCACGCCAAGTAAGTTATTTCGATTTAAAAAAAAAAATTTCAAACAAAAACCAAGTTATCATTGGGTTGACGTATGTTTAAAATTTTTAAATTTTGAGTAATAATATTATTTGTGTTTTATTTTTTTGTTTTTAATTTCAAAGTAAAATCCTGCTTCATACTTTCTATGATAATCATAGCTAAATTACATTTTGATAAAAGCATAGAATTATAAGAGGAATTAGTTTTTTTTGCATTTTAACTACCATGAATTTATTATACCATATATCAATTTAAAAATTGCCATTGGCTTGAATAAGTTTTTTATAATTAACAATATATATTATCTGCTATAGTTTCCCAACAAAACGACAGTACAAAAACAACAATTTTTTAAATTTACACCTAAAAAAACGATTTCTAATTATAAAATGGATTATAGCAATTATAAGATACTAAATAATTTATATATTTAAATAATTTTTGGTTGAATGAAGCACTTATATTAGGCATACATGCATTGTTTATATGCGTCCTGTAAGTACCGATTCAATGTCTTGTAAGTAACGACTTATTGTAAATAGATACTGGCGTTGCTTTTAAAGTAGGGTTAAATTTAATAACAAAACAAATAACAAAAACTTTTGAAACGGTAATAAAACATATGCTTAAATTGCTATATAAAGCATTTTCTATAGAATTGTTAAACTTATTTTTCTATAGAATTTTTTTGCTTTTCTATAGAAATTATAAATTTCTATGCAAAATTATATCAGAATTTCTATAGACCATATGTTTCAAAGTTTTATTTAAATGTTATAGAACTTTTTTCAATAGTTTTTAAAAAACAAAAAATTCAAATTTACAATATTCAATAGTTTTGTTAACTATATCTTATTACCAGTCATTGTTTTTCAATAATTATAACATATTACCAGTCATTGTTTTTTATTTCAGATCGTAATATAAACTAATGTCTCAAACTAATGCTGAAAGGCAAAGTAAATGGAGAAGGCTTAACCCTGTTTTAGCAAAGGAAAAAAATAAAGAGTATGTTGACAAACACTGAATGAAAAAAAGAGACAAATACTCAAAGTTACCACAACATAAACAGCAAAAAGCTGATGTAGAAAGAAATATTAAAGAAAATGAAAAAAAACCTAAATGGAGAAAATCAACTACAAAAAAAGCTAATGAAATAGTTTGTTATAAGATGCCATATAATACACCTTCTTATCTTTCAAGGGCTGTAAATAAAGTAAAGCTAATTTTATCCAATAGCCCAATAGCCCAAAACAAAAAGAAGTTGTTTTAAAATTAGCCTCTAAATTAAATTGCAAGATTGTAGAATGTTCTAATGGTTTTAGAGGAGTTACTTCCTTAAATGAAGAAATCAAGAATAAGGTTGTTAATTTTTATGAAAATGATGATATCAGCCGCATGTCTCCTGGACAAAAAGACAATTTTGCTAAAAAAAAAAAATTGGAAAAAAGATTATACTTAAAAATGGCACATGTACATGGGCATAAAAGAAACACACGCTTTGTTTATGACAGAAAATGAAAATATAAAGATAGGCGTCAGTAAATTTGCAAGTTTAAGACCTTATATATATACCTGTATTCAAGAAAATTGTCATGTCTTCAATATCCAGACAAACAAGCATGTTGGTTGAGTGAGTGGCAGCATAAAAAATATGGCTTCAAAAAGAAGTATTCATTTCAGTGTGATAAGGAAAAAATCCTCTATATCAAAATTTTTTTAAGAAAAATTTTGATTTAGAGGACTTTTTTCGCAAATTGATGATTCCCCCCCCCCCTACTTCAAAACCCGCGTCGTCGGCCCATTTTTAACTTAAGCTTTATTAAAAGACAGCAGCATAAGAGTTTAGAATCTGACAGATATAGCACAAAAGACGTGGATAGTATAGCAGTGTTACAAATGGTTTACACTGAAAATTATAAATGTTTTTCACAAGATGAAGTTCAAAATGCATACTGGAATCAACAGCAGATAACTATTTTTACTTCTGTAAAACTTCATCGTGGTTTCAAAACATGAAATATTGTCATGCAGTTGTTAGTGATTGTACAACTCTTGATAAAGAAACATCATCAGATTCAAAGCCTACCAAAAGAAGTAGCTGAGTTTGGACAGATAACCCTTCAAGTCAGATTAAAAACAGATTTATTATGACGGGTGCTTAAGCTCTTCAAAAAAAGTATGAAATTGTTATTAAATGAAACTACAGTGCAACTAGTCATGGTAAAGAACCTGTAGATGGCTTAGGAGCAATTGTTAAAATAATTGCTTCAAATCAAGTTCTAACCAGAAAAGTAGTTGTTAACAGGGCCGACGACACCGGGAGAGCCGGGTCAGCACGTATTGTCGGCCCTGATTAATAATGCTGACGATCTTTATCACGTTGTTTCTAAGAGTAGCCCAAAATTTCAAATTTCTTAAAATTTTATCTGAGCATATTCTTCAAAGAAGTTGAATTAAATCTAAAAGATATATTTCAAAAATCAAATAAAGTAAAAGGAGTTGCCACTTTTCTTTACTTTCCTTTTTTTAATGATTGCATCCTATTTAAACGATATTCATCGGAGTCTAAAACAGCAACTCCAAAACTAATATAGTCCAAGAAAAGAAAAGAAACTAAAATTGAGGTTATTATGCATTTTGTCAATTAGGTTTTTGGATATTTCATGTAAATTTCTAAACTTTCAACAATTGAACGAATTTGCAATATACAGGAAAACAAATAAATGGTTTTGAGATGATTCGGATATATATAAACATCCAATATGTTAAAATAAAAAATATATCTAAAATGTGACAATTACAAAAATCATGTCCCGCAAGTAATGATGTTTGCCCTTTAGTTGTCCTTGAATGGTAGCAAAAATTATGTTTTGGGGATACTTATCAAAAAAGAGGTTTTACCACACGCAGAGGGACAAGGCGATGTCTGCTAAAACTTGTTGTTTACATTACATGACAGTGATGATGAGCTTCTCCTAATTCTAATTTTTTAGGGTCTCACTCCTTTCTTACCTTCTACAGGTAATAGCAAATTTAATATAGCAAATAAAAATTTCTTGAACGGCATAAGTCGTACTAGGTTACGTTTTATAATTAATAATAGAAATTTTACTTCCAAGTGTATTAACGCTGTTGAAAATATAAGTTTAACGCACCGGAAAAGTTCAATTTAAAAAAGATCTGCAAGTACCTTTCATTAAAGTATTTTCAAATACACAATCAAAGAATATTTTTATAATAATTCTTCAATATTTTTGAAAAAAAGACTGGCAAGGAAACTAGCTGAAAAGCAAAATGAAAAGTATTTGATTGTAATGACGTGGATAAGAAAAAGTTCTTTCGACATATTTCGCTATTCTTTGTTAAAGAGGATCCAGAACAAATGACTTTAAAAATGGAATTGATTTTAAGCCGAATGCTATAAAAGGATAATTTAAAAATTTCTTAGGTTTTTTGTTCTAATTTTTTTTACAAAATAGTTTAGAAAAATAATAGGAACAAACAGTTTAGAAAAATTAAGGGTAAAAGTATAAACATGGCGATAAATGTTCCTTAATATATTTTAATTGATTTGATTTTATTCTACAATATTCTCGCGCGTCGCTAAATGTTGTTTTATTAAATTTTTATGTAATAATAACCAAAAAATCTAATACAAAATTTCTTTGAGGAACGTTTATGGATACGCATGTGTGGAGTTTTTCATGAACAACGGCAAAATAAAATGCTTTTAAAAATAACGCACACGTAAAAGTCAACGAATTGAATGAAAAAGGTAATAAACAACGAAATAAACAGAATTAAATATTATTTTCAAAACGATTTAATTTTAAATGACCTCATCATTAGGAGAGAAAATAAAAATCAAAAGCAAAATAACAATTAAAAAAATAATTACATGTTTCCATAAAATAAATACTTTTCCTTGTTAAATATATCATTATAGTAAAACTTCAGTCAATCAAATAATTTACATATACTGAATGTAAATGAACAATATCTGTTTCATTAAAAAAATAGACAATAAAGGGGCAAAATGATTTTAAAATGTTTTCATTAAAATTTAAAGAAAACAAAATTTTATTATAAAACTATTTTGAATTAATTTGGAAGAATAGTATTTCTTAAATCAAGAGAAAATATATTAGTTAATAAAAATGTCAAATAAGAAAAAAAAAAAATTAATTTTATTTTTTGTCAATCAGATAAAATACATGTTTGTCGAAATATATACATACAAAAATTTCAAATGCTTTTTATAATAAATATATCCTGTCATAAAGAACAACTTTTAAAATAGAGCGGAAAAATTTTCAATACTAACATATTAAATTGTTTTACAAAATATAAAATGATCCTTAACAAAATCAAGATGGTTGAAATAAAATATTGCTTCATTCCATTACCAAACAATAAAAATTAAAAAATAAAAAATTTTCAAAATACTGCAAAGTAAAATTTACAGTAAAACAATTTTTGAAAATTAAAAATAAAAATTGGCAGAAAACTAATATTGATTTTGATTTTAAAAGGTTATTTTTGAATCAAACACAGGTGTAACACCTGACTCTATGAAATCTGAATAATTTGTTTTTTTCAAAAATAAGTAAATATTGAATAAGCTGAATCAAATACTGTACTAAATAGTATTTGGACTTGCAATAAAATGTATAAATCAATAAAAACAATCAGAAGAATATAATAGCAAAGTTGAAATGAAATTGAAAAGTGCATTGGTTTAAAACCTTATAAATATAATTTAAAATAAAATATTTTATACTTAACATTTATAACTGTAAATGTGTTTCAAAACACAAGATGTACAATTAATATAAAAGATTATGTATGCAATTGAATATTAACCTAAAATTCCCAGAATGAGTACTGAACTCAAACCAGTTTTTTAAAACACAAAATAATTAATAGTTGGGTTGCAACAGGAAAGTTATTTTGAAACAAGAAAAATAGAAAAATTTTATGTTTAAACTAAAAATTGCACACAAAAATTCCTGTTAAAAAAACAAAAACTTTAATGTACAAAACTCAAAGCACAAACAAAAAAAAAAACAACTAGGAAACAAAACTATGCTGTAACCTGAAGTCGGTTTGTACCGACCGATGGAGTGACATTTTGTTGACGATTATTTAAGTGGTTATGCTTTTTTGAGAATTGCATTGATTGCAACTTCAAATAATGAGATTGCAGAGCTAGTCTTCTGGTTTCAAACTTCTGCAATTCTTGCATAATTAAATAATTCTGAACTAACTGAGCAGCCAATGGGTCATAGCCGCTTGCTAGCAATAATGGCCATTGCAACTTTTGCAAATACTCTAAATTCAGTATAGGATTCACACCAGCTGGGTTAAATGTACGATTTGCTGAAAAAAGATTTTTCTGTGTAGAATTTCGAGAAACAAATGTCTTAGCTGTTGGTGATAAACTTTTTTCAAACTGTCGATTACCATTTGCAATATATGAATTTACCAATGGTTGAGTATTTATTAAAGGGTTATTTCTTATAGGATAAACTTTATTTATGCCATTATGTTGGTTACCCACAATTGGCTGCTTTTGAATCACTGTTGGGAGTTTGTCAAGAACTTTTGCAAGATATTCTGACGTTGAATTGACACAATCGTCACCTTCTTTATAAATTACTATGACAGCACCATGTTCTCCTGGAAAAAATAAAGTTAAAATGATAAAAAAAAGTTAAAAAATAAAAAAGAAAAAAAATGATCTTACTTTCTTATAAAGATTTAAACTGTTTATTATCTTTATAGATGTTGTTTACTATTTGTATTGCAGTTGTAATATTGAAGAAAAAATGTTATTTTAATGAATCAACATAAACACTAATTATTACTTGATATTACAAAGACAAACAGAATTAAGGTTGTAAAAATAAAAGTGATATAGGTATATGTTAATAAAAATGATTAAAAAAAAAGTTCTTTTATACCGAATTTAATTGAATAGTTTTAATATTTTATCAGGATATAAGAACAACCTATTTAAATCATGTTTAACATTTTATTTTAAATTTAAAATAAAACAGAACAAGTTAAAGCTAAAGCTCAAATTACCTATTCGGTAGGAGACTTCGCTTGGATCTATCCACAAGTCTAGCTTTTTTGGAAAACTGTCAGTCAACACTGATGAATCAAAATTGGCTTCCATCGCTGCGTTTAAAAGAACAGCATCTATTTGATTTTCAATAGATACACAGCGATAAGCGCTTCCTTTTGAAGGTTTTTCTGGATACCAATGACCCTCAAATTTTGCTGATAAACCTTTAGTTAAATATTTAATAAATTGCTCAAGTTCGGTTTTTGTACATTTATCAATAATAAAAGAAGCAACAAATTGTACTGCAACTTGCACTTCAATTTCCATATTTAAAGTTTGCTTAAAACCCATGTGGTCAGCGCTAAATAATCTTCTTCTGTAGTAAATCGCAAGAACACGTTTTTTAAGAGCTTAAGTTTGTTGATGTGTTAAAACAAATATATTTTCGAAACTAAATAATAGAAGTCAGTGCGCTTGTTTTAAACACCAATCAAATTACGCAATATCAAGTGTAAAACAAGACAGATCTTTTTTGATTGGTTAACGCTTCGTTTTAATTGTTTTATTTTAAAATTCTTTGTTCGAAAAACATTCCGTCAGCAATAACCAAGTGTTTTTGTGTTCCGTTTCGATGAGCATCTAATTAGTTAGCTTATTAAACTGTTGATTAAAGAGTATTGAAAATTATTGAAAAGAGCAAACTTAATGTTCGGGGCCAGCGAACAGGGTTGTTTTCAGCGGGTCGTTGATAATATAGGGCAGAAACTTCATTTCATAGACAGTGATATCACATTCTTGCTTTAAAACGAACATTTACGTTCATTTATGATGTTAGATCTATGAATAAAGCTGCTGTTGCAAACAATATTTCAACCAAAATTAAGTGAAAAGATGTTAATTAACAATTGGTCCGGGTTAATAAACAAATTGTAAATAAAGGGCAAAAATGCGCGTCGTTAGTTTTCCCTGGTGTTGTTTCAAAGCCTTATTCACCCAAAGTGTAATTTCATAATATTTAATGCAGCAACAATCTTATTTAACCAAAGATTTCGTTATATTGCTAGTAGTAGTAGATAATAAAAATAGTTTCTGTTATAAGTGATATCATAAATTCTTTTTTAATCTAAATAATTAATTTTTTTGTAATAAATAATGGCTGCCTTTCAAAATTTTTCTAGTTAATTGCCAAGCTAATTAAAAAAAAAAATTGAACTAATAAAAAAAGTGCCAATTTTTTCAATTCAAAGCTAGTTACAATAATACTTAAACCTTTTTAGAAAAAATAAAATAAAAAAAATAAAGAAGAATAAGTTTAAGCCACTTCTGAAATCATAAAAGCTATATCCAAATGAAAAAAAAAAGTATATGTTTTAAAAAAGAATCTGTTTACTAAAAGTATGTTTTCTTTCTCCAGAAATTTAAAATTGGTTGGGCTAATGCCAAATAATTTATAAAGCCTTGTACAACTCTACAATTTATTTATGAAATATATTTAATTTAAATATATTTCATAATAAAATAAAATAAATAGCTAAGGATATGTGTCTTTAATACCTCCCCCCTCAATAATTGGCACATTTATATATTTATACGGGCATATAAACGTGTATAAGTTATGGGCTCATAGTATGTATAGCCTTTTTACAACTTTACATATAAAATCGATTTAATTAGCATGTGCACGCCCGATCAATCAAGCGTAACTTGTTAGCCGCATTGAGTGAAAGATGGCACTTAGCGAAGAAGCTCTCATTAACCCAAAATGTTTTCATTGTGTCAAACCTTAATTTTTGTTAGGCACTTTTATTTTATTTAATATTATTTAAATCTTTCAGCAACAACGTTAAATTTCATACATTTCAAAAAAAAAAAATACTGTTATACGCATAATGATATATATATATATAGCATTATATTTTGAAAGTTTTTCTTTCTTTTTTTAAATCACTTACAGAATATTTTGCCGCACTAAATTCAAACAATTCAATTTTTACGACTCAATTTTAAAATCAGCATTGTTGTGACCAGTGCAGTTTTTGTAATCAATACAAATTACGCAATAAAATACAAAACCTATCTGAATCTGCTTAACACCAAGTTAACTATGTTATAGCTCGTTTTATGAAAAATGATTCTTTGCTATGTATTTTGTTATGAGTTTAAAAAAATAAAGAATAATGTTTAGATTTTGTGGTGTCACAAAATTGAAAAAATGTCACATCTTATATTAACTGTATGACCTTTAACTGAATATTACAGCTATAAAATGTTTGGGTATTCTTTCAAAACTTTTAAATAAGAAAAAAATTTAAAGGTATTGTTCAATAATAATTGAAATTGCAATTATGATTACAAAAATAGGCTAATAGTCTATTACTTTTTACGAATTTCACAACATACTTGCAGTGAGGTGTTAACATTTATTTTAACACCTTATTACAATTATAGTTAATACAATTATAATCTATAACATTTATTTGTTAGTAGTGTACTTTACCCATGTAGTAAAAAGTCTTAAACGCGCAAAAAAACATTAATACTTTGAATACTTTCTTTTGAAATCTTTATTTGAACTTCTAAATAAAAAGTTTCTTTTCAACAAAGAAGTCTTAAAAATACACAAATTGTATAATGGCGTCAGTATTCCGATTAAAATATTTTATTAAGTTGTAATATAAAACATACTCATAAAATATCATAAGTAGCACATATAACAATTAAACTTCTCAATAACCGCGGTCATGCAGACCAAGCCCTACATCAATATGAGTATACAAATTTGTGTGAACTGTACATAAATCAACAGAATTTGGGTCTTCGAAGCGAGTATTATATATTTTTTTTTAAATATTATTTAAAAGTTATTACTATTCTAATAGTACCTCGAAACAAAAAGGGGCAGTAAACATTTATCTCTTATTATTTTTATAGGCATTATGAAATAAAAAAACTATGTTCGTAATGTTGCTTGGTAACGTCGTAGGTCGTCAAAGTTTCTAGACTCTTATTACTGTAATTAAATTGTTCTATAACCCGCAGTAGTAATGTTTAGTAACCCACACTAGTAATATTTTGCGAGAACAAAGGGTTTTTGGATTATAAACACGCATAAAAAAGCCCGACGCTTCAAACGTTATTTAAAGAATTTTTTAATTGATCTTGGGACTTTTTTCTTGCTAGTTTACAATGGTGTCAAAAAATTATTGTACAACCTTCAACTTTTATAAATTTGATAATAGCGTAATCATATTAAAGATTAAAAGCTGCTTTATAAAACGATATAATTTATTTCTCAAAACATTTTTAAACAACTGGTCACCAACAATCGTAAAAAATCAATTTAATTCACTAATTTAAATATGTAAATACTCAACGTAAATACAAATGACGGCTACACGAAGAAGACATGTTGTATAATATGTCTTGCTTGTTATATAATATGTCCTCTTGGCAATAAGTGTTGTTTCCATAATAAATGCTTATTATTTTTTAAAACTAATCAAATTATGTTTTCAAGGATAATTGAAAAAATAAAATTTTCTTAAATTACAAAAAAAAAAAAAAAAAAAAAGGAGAAAAGCTTATAAGCATACCAACTTAAAACTTTCCAAAAATAAAAAAATAATGACATTTATTTTGAAACGTTAAGTTTTTAAATAAAGCTAAATCGATGCAACAGTTACCAAAGACAAATAGAGCATAATCGATCCAAAGAACTCTGGCAACGACAAACTACAAAATGTTTTATATACTTTTTCAATGCCAACCCAGCAGCATCGGCTTCCATTTTACTTAAAAACCAAAGTTCTAAATGTTTTAAGTTCATTAATAAGTGCTTTAATTCATACTTTTCCTCTTATAAATATTGGAAATTAAGTTCTTAAAAAAAAGTGCCGCAAAACAAGTATTTGATTGAATTTGTTAAAACCCTGTACGATATCTTACAGGGTTTTAAAAAAGTATATTTAATCAAATACTTGCTGATTTAATTTGAATAACGAATTAAAAACTTCAAGAGCTATTTTCTTTATATAAAAATTAAAAGATGATTAAAGATATTAAAACATATATACTTAATAAAGGAATATGTAAAACAACATTTTTGCCGTCTTTTTTAATTTTGTACATAATTTAGGTTGTTTTTTTTTTTTAATCATTAAATTTAATAGTTTAGCGTGTATTAGTTTGATTGGCATAGAGGTTTGGACATTGGTATTTCATAACATTTTGCAATAAATCGTTTCAAGTAAAAAACTAAAATTTACTGGGCGGTTCTTTTATTTGTTCAAGACTTATATTCGCAGATAATAAGTTTTAACGGTGGCACCATATCGTTTAAACTTTTTTAAAAATATATAAAAGACATTGATTTTTTTTATTGGGAAACGAAGTCTATGTTTGTTAAACCCTTCTATAACTAAACACACAGATAAGGACGTAAATCAAATTTATGAAATAAATTTTTAGAAAAAAAATTTGACAAAAATTAGCTAGTTTTTAAACTTAACTTTAAGATTTAACAAATATTATGAATAAATTTTACATATTTTTTGAACAACATGTTACATAATATTATTTTGCAAATCGTATGCTATTTATTGTGTACATAAAATACATTTATAAAAGATTTTTGTATAAATTAAAGTTTAATATTTGACTGATCACTGACGTAAAATGATGCTTTTTATTTAACTAAAAGTTTGGCCTGAAATAAAGCAAAAAACAAAAAAAGAAAAAGAAAAAAGAACTTCTAGTAAAGTTTGACGTTTATACATATATAAAGACGTCAGAGAGATGTAACACGATAATTCCCAACTTTTTCATACACACATTCAGCATTCTGTATTTTATTATTTTATTTCTAACAATTGCAAGTAAAAAAAAATATATATTAAATACTAATTTATTGTTTTAATGTAGAGGTTGTAATGTAAATGTAAAGCAGTATTTTAAAACAATGATATATATATAAAAAAAAAAAAATTATATCTAATATATATATATATATATATATATATATATATATATATATATATATATATATATATATATATATATATATATATATATATATATATATATATATATATATATATATATATATATATATATATATATATATATATATATATATATATATATATATATATACATATATATACGATAGGTTGCATTTTTTTTTTTTGAACTTTTAAATTTTTAACTAAACATAGGATATGGTGGACTTCCTTAACAACAAAAAAAATATTGATTTAATTTATCTCTATCACTATATGTTCTTGAATATCATTTTAATAAAATTTCAATACAATTATAATAATCAGTGCAATAAAAAGCTTTTTAAGTATGAAAAAAGGGACATTTATAAGTAGTTTTTATTTATTACTAGATTTTTTTCCATTAATTTCAGGCTCAAGCAGTTTGAAATTTTTTAGAATAACATCAAA